GTTAGCTCCCTCCGATTGCCCTCAGGGCATTCGGCCCAGTCCTTACCCTAAGCAATGCAGCCTGCTTCTCTCCATTCAGCCCCCACTTGCTGGTTGCGGATGCGAGCGTCTGGGGTACTTTTCTGCTGGGAGTTGCTTTTAGGCATGTGATCTGTGGTTTTTATTTATTTTTCCTCCCGATTAGGTTGCCCTCCGAGATTCGAAAACTTCCTCCAGACCCGCAGGTGAGAGGGTTTCCTGGTGTTTGGAAACTTCCTCTATTAGGACTCCCTTCCCTGGACGGATTTCCGTCCCTAACTCTTTTGTCTCTCTTTTTGTCTTTTATATTTTGTCCTACCTCCTTTCGAAGACAATGGTCTGCTTTTCTGGGTGGCTGATGTCTTCTGCTAGCAATCAATAGTTGTTTTGTGGAGTTTGCTCAGCATTCAAATCTGTTTTTTTTTTTTTTTTTAAATTAGAGAATAGTATTTAGAAACCACTGAGCACTGGGTGTGTTCATTGCTCCTGGGGTGTCATTATTTCTAGGTCACATTAGTGATTAGAGCTAGATGGTATATGTATACCTACTACCCCTTGTATACAGATGTATCTAATTATTTCTGTTTCTTTATTTGTATATATATTAGGATAATGGTGAGTTTATATTGATGTGTCTGACTTTAATCCAGTACCACAGGGTTTTAGAATGCCTTCTTTGCTTGCTTTACTGTAACATCCTTCTTCCATAATGAAAAACCTTGCACCCACTATACATTTACTTATATTCAACCCACTGTACCTGTTCCTGTACTATAAATACATTGTAACCTATATTCCCACAAGAAAGAAGTTTACCAGTTCTAATATTGTACTAATTTTTTAACTATTTCTATTTTAGTGGACAAATCATAGGTTCTTGTTTACTTTTATTATGATGTGATTTAAGTGTTTTTCATTCTTTAATCTGGGATGTGTTTGTATGTCAGCATGATTGATTAAGATGATGGATTTTGTCTCCAAGTTTAATGTTTCCATTCTGCTCCACACTTCTGATAGTCTAAAAGGTTATGTTCTCTCTTCAGCAATTTATTACACATTTCTACAAGAAGAAGTATAGACTTATTAAAAGTTTATACTTACTATTAAAGGTTTTATTATATGTAAAAGAGACAAGTTGAAGGAAATAAGATTTGCAGCACCTTCTTGCCCCAAAGTTCTGGCTCAGGTGCTTTTTAAAAAATTGCCTTAGGGCAAGACATCTAAACTCAGTTTCTCCATTTGCTCAGTAAGTCTTGACTGTGTAGGCTTGCTTGATACTTGGTTTTCTTTTCTTGGCTACTTTTCTAGGACATCCTGTTGACCCATTCTTGTTATTAGTGCCAAAGATCATATGCCTGTCAGTAAAGATATTATGGACCCGGGAAATGGGACTGACTTAACTAAAGCTTTCATTCCCTAGACACTTGGTTCCCAAATTCCTGTGGGGAAGAAAGAAGTGTGGGTTTAAAAAGCTATACTAAGAGCTAGGTCTTGATCATCATCGTGGTCAACTTCTAACTTGAAGTCTGACCTTGGGCCATCACTTCTACCTCCAGACCGCAAATCCTTCATCTAGAAAGTGAAACAGTTCCATTCGATAACTCCTAGATGCTGGGAGGGATTGGGGGCAGGAGGAGAAGGGGACGACAGAGGATGAGATGGCTGGATGGCATCACCGACTCGATGGACATGGGTTTGAGTAAACTCCGGGAGTTGGTGATAGACAGGGAGGCCTGGTGTGCTGCGATTCATGGGGTTGCAAAGAGTCGGACACGACTGAGCGGCTGAACTGAACTGAAAGTTCCTTACAGCTGTGGTTTTATCATCAGAGACAGTGAAATACCTGGTATCCGGCCATGCCATCCTGAATGCGCCGGTTCTCTTCTGATCTCAGAAGCTAAGCAGGGTCGGGCCTGCTTTAGTACTTGAATGAGAGAGAGTGAAATACCTGGCTGGCAGTTTTAATCTCAGTAATTAAGGTGCTCTGGCAAGAATTGGAAATGGTCAGCCTCTTTGAAATAGGCCTATTGGGCCATTCTTTATCATCCTTTTAATTTGTTTAATTAAAAACAGCACACACACTCTGTGTGGGATGAACACATTCTGAAATGTGAGGTCTATAGGTAGAATGAGGAGGGCTCAGATGGTACCATGTAGAAGGCATAGTGTACTCTTGAGAACGATCCATCATGGTAGTAACTTTGGAGAATCAGAACTGGGCCATTTATTATTTGTTGTTTATAAATCAGGGACTTATTAAGTGACATTTCTTTTACAGCTAGTATGTAGAATCTGTGAACAGTACAGAAAAATAGCCAAAGTGAAGAGAGTATGATGGCTTAAGTGTGATTAAGGCTCAGTGAGTTGTAATAAAGAAGCTTTAGTTCTCAAAGCATTAGTCTTGTACTGCTAATAGCCTTCAGAAAAGTCTGTTATTTCTCACAAGCATTGAGTTTCCTGGGGTAAGAGAATGAAACATATGACCTATAGCCTAGTATGCTATCCATACCATGTATTTGCAAGAGGATTTTGGTAAACAGATGGGTGGTAGACAAAAGTAGGAATTAATGTACTGTAAGACAAGGCATTTTGCTTGGAAAAAATGAATAATAGAGTGAAGAAATGTTGCCTTTGGTTAGAAAGTGCAAAATAAGAGAGCACAGAATGAGTCTCCTTCAGGCTGCCTGCCATTTAATTGTTCTTTAAAAGCCACATCGTATCAATTTATGAGATTAAACTTGTATGAAAGTCTTGAATGATAGTCCTCTGACCCACCGTTCCTGGCTCCTGTTACACATTTCTAAATGAAGTGTACTCTGCCTGTCTTTGTTTGCAGTGTTAAATCAGCAAGTTGAGCTTTTATGATACTAGTTTATGTAAAGATTCACACTTGCTTTAACAGTGTGTCTGGAATGGATGTCCATTCCTCTGATCCATACTAATGTTATTAGCAGTGTTAGCTTCCTCTTCACCATAGGTAAAAAGAGTTGCTCATTATAGAAGTGAACAGTAGATGTCACTGCATCTCCACTTACTGCGGCTCTGGCTCAGTTTATTTGGATACAACCAAGTTCTTAATATAGCTTCCAAATCACTAATCTTAAATCACGTATTTATGGCTGACAATTAAGATCCCCTTCCTCAGATATAGAATTGAAAATTGAGAAAAAGCATAACCCAGGGGAGTTTTCTTCAATTTCCTTCTTAGTGTATTTGTTCTAGGCTTATATATTATTTATACAGTAGTCCCCCACTTATCTATGGGGGGGATATGTTCTGAGATCTCTAGTATGGATTCTGAAACCACAGACAGCATTGAACTGTATATATACTGTTTTTCCCTGTACGTACCTAACTGTGATAAACAGTTAAGATAATATACTGTAATAGGTTATGTGAATGTAGTCTCTCTTTCAAAATAGCTTATTGTCCAAATTTAACACCTTTTCCATCTTAACAAAGCACTTATCACTCGTTATGGCTCTCACTTTTGCAGTTTTAAGTGTGACAGCAAAACTAGCATGAGTTTCCTTTTTCCTTCACAGTTTCATGATTAGAAGATTTGTTACTGTAAGTCTTAGCATCCTCAGTGTATGGTTTTGCTTTTCTTTCCTTACTCAGTTGAAAACTTTTCACCTTTTCAGTTGAAGCACGTTATGACTTCTGTTTTGGCATATCTGAATTGGCCGGCATCAGTACTTTTGCGCTTTGGGGCCATTATTAAGTGCCATAAGGGTTACTTGAGTACAAGTACTTGCTGACAAGGAAAGGAAAATAAAGAACTGAATTATGACCAGAAGTCATACAATGCATCTTTCAAAACAAACCTCTTACGGTTTGAGTGTAGATGGTACAGTTTCCATATATGACAGAAAGGCGAAGTTGGTGTTAACTTGAATTATTTTAGAAAGCCTGAGGCATACTGAATTTGATTTCTTTTGAACATGTTGAGTCACTCAGTCGTGTCCAACTCTTTGCAACCCCATGGACTGCAGCACGCCAGGCTTCCCTGTCCATCACCATCTCCTGGAGTTTGCCCAAATTCATGCCCATTGAATCAGTGATGCCATCCAACCATCTCATCCTCTGTTGTCCTTTTCTCCTCCTGCCGTCAATCTTTCCCAGCATCAGGGTCTTTTCCAGTGATTCAACGCTTCACATCAGGTGGCCAAAGTATTGGAGCTTCAGCTTTAGCATCAGTCCTTTCAATGAATGTTCAAGGTTGATTTCCTTTATCATTGATTGGTTTGATCTCCTTGTAGTCCAAGGGACGGACTCTCAAGAGTCCTCCAGAACCACAGTTTGAAAGCATCAATTCTTCGGTGCTCAGCCTTCTTTATAAACCAACTCGTAGATGGTGAAAATAGCCAGGGTGATATCTGTTCTCATATGTCAGGGTCAGTGCTGGCTTCCTCCTGGTAGAACTGTTAATAGTTACCTCGTTTACTCTCAGTTGTCCTAGTTTGGACAATACGTGGTCACTCTAAATTGCCCAGTGGTGGTTAATAAGTTGCAGTTCTAGTCATTATAGGCACTTCTTTATTTTTTTTTAATAAACTCAAGAGTTATGCCTGCCCTGAGTTTTCTGAGTTAAATCTACAAAACAAAGCAAAACCCATGAGCTTGTAATTGTGGAAATATTGCCTTTGGGTTTGTACATATTTATCATTGCTCTTCAGAGCAATGATTTCCAAATATGGTTATGCATCAAAATCAACTAGGGACCTTTTTACAAATAGTTTCATGGGTCTCAACCACAGACCTCTACTGATTTTGTACCAGAGTTTGAACTTGACATTACTAAAAATGTAGAACTGCTTGCAATGCAAATGTAATAGATTATTCTGTCAGCAGGCCTCTAAACTAGCATGTAGAGGAACATTTCTTTGTGTGGTTTGGGTGGTATTTGGGGTTCTCTGTGATGGCTGCTTTGAGCCTTGAGGATATGCCGGGCATTGACGTAAGCTGCCTTTTTGTTTCAGATGTCATCTGGGTCATTCTCAGTGTGGAAGTGGGTGGACTTTTAGGAGTCACGCAGCAGCTGTCATCTTTTGAAACGGAGTTCAACACACAGCCACATCGCAAGGTAGAAGGAAACTTCAACCCGTTTGCCTCTCCCCAAAAGAACCGACAATCAGATGAAAACAACTTAAAAGACCCTGGGGGTTCCGAGTTCGACTCGATCAGCAAAATCACATGGGCTCCTGCTCCTGACCAAACCGAGCAAGATGAGAATAGACCCTCAGAGAACTCTGTAAATCTGTCCCCCAGCAGTCACGCAAACAACTTATCAGTAGTGACTTACAGTAAGGTAGGTGCCCTCGGAGAAGAGGAGAAGGGGTAGGTGGTGGGCGTTGGGATTTGTGATACCCCTTCTGGCAGACCTAGAAGCCTAGAATGTTCTTTAAGACTGCTTAGCTCTCCTGCCAATGCAATAGCACAAAAACCTACCCCTTCTCCCCTCCCCCCCTCCCCATCTCCAGGTCCTGTGGGTGTTAACTCCTCCATCCACATTTTATAAATACTGCTGTCTCTCTGCTCTGGTTTGGGTGTTGAAAGAACAGAGTTCTTTACCTTTAGCATTTAAAAAAAAAAAAAGTCAAAATATCACCAGGCATTCTTCCAGTGTGAATGTGTACTAAATGTAGAGCAATAGCACACCTTTGGAATTTGTTCCTACTGTGTTTTTTTTGGTTTTGGGTAGAGTGTTTTTCCTGAAGAAAAAGACAGACTTAATTATTTATCCTATCTGTTGTTGGGCTTCCACTTTATTTACCTAGTTTCCAAGTCTTGATTATCTTTCCAGTCCCTTGTGGCCTATCTGCCTCCTCACCCACAACCCAGAGTGGCCCAAGTGATATTTTGACTTTTCACGTGTGCAGAATAAGTGAGAGAATTGTTTATTGAGTTAATCATAATTTTAAATATTCTGATTGTTCTAAGACTGTCTTCTGGGTGTTTGATCTCTTGATCTGCTTCTCTATGCTTGCTGACTACACAGCGCCTTCCATATTCTGCTAAGGGTGATGACGGTTCCTGGTTGTTTTTGATTGGTTGAATAAAGCCCTGTGCTGCTGAGAGCTAACTGTTGTAGGTGATTTGTGTGACAGCCTGTGAGCACTGCTGTTCCTTCTTTGATTAATAATGTGATGCATTAGGCTTAGCCTCCCACTTCGTATAACTGTTAAGTCTTTGCTTGCTTCATGTTGGCATTCACCCTCAATATTTTAAAAATAAAATTGATCCTTATTTGAGGGACAGCTTGCTCTGTTGTAAGAATGGCATTTTTCTGATCTGTGCTTTATATGTGGTCTACAGCCACAGGCAAATTAAGAAAAGAAACTTGATGATGTGAACTGTTTCTCCACATGGTCTAAAGAGGGACTTCATTGAGTAGAAGTGTAACAAGATTGATTTATTAGTTTGATGGTCATTATAAAGGATTGTGTGGAATCATGTTAGTCATACAGGATATAAGAAGTAAATAGGCGAGGCAATGGCTTATAGTTGAGGAAAGTCTTCACGTCTTAACACTCTAACAAAAGATTTTTCCTCTAAGTTCCTGTTGCTCCAGATAGCTCTTCCTTAAGTTTAACCCTTCAGGGTACAGCTGTTGCAGGTGGTACAGGCCCTAGGGCAGGCATGCCCTGTTAGGAGAACTTGGAAGCAGTTGAGCGTGCTGTGAAGATGAGAGTTGCAGGAAGCGGAACCTGCTGCTCCAGTGCTTTCTGTAATGGAGGCCCCTCCACCCAGTTGAGCTCCGTGGCCCGCCCGTCACTGTAGCCTGAAAGGGCTGCTGTTCGTGGCCAGAGCACTGCGCTTGTTTTCCTGGGTTGCAAACCTGTTAATTATTTTTTGATCCTTTATGGCTTTAGGGACTGTTGCCTTTTAAGTCTGTCATTGCCCTGGCCTGGGTGGAGGTGGCGGCTCGTTTCATAAACTCTGTAGGATCATTTAGAAATAGCATTTGCAAGAACCACAGAGAAAAGTTTCTCATTGGAGATGATATGCAAGACTGTTGCCTATAACTGTGTTGAGAATGTGGCACTTGGACCCCAAAGAGAAATCAGAGCCTCCTTTTCTTCTTAAGTGAATCAGAGTCTTATTCAGAAAGCACTTGTGTGAGCACTAGCAAGTCCTCCAATAGCATTTCTGGCTAAAATGGAGTCAGCTCTGCCTCTGAGGACTCCTTAGAAATGGGGTAGAGGATAGACCGTCACCAGTAAGGATTTATCGACACATCTGCGCTAACGTACAAAGCCGTGTACATTATTGAATATGGAGACGTGAAGGATAGAAGTTATCCCTACTAGCTAGCAGTTCTCAGTACAGTGGGGGAGATGAAAGAGGCATGCCTTTCAGTCCAGGTGAAGTGTGAATTTGGTCAGTAGAGCAACACACAGTCAAAATGTATGATTTGTGTGCATGGCTGGGGGTTAGTTAAGAAGGCAGAGATAAAGGAGAGAGGGAGTTGGTGTAAAAGCACAGGTTTGGAAAGACAGGGAGGATGATGATAACAGAGCGGTTGCAGTGCTGAGGGCAGAATACTGAGTGAGGGGGTGTGGTTAGGAGTTACGAGTTGGGGAGACGCTCAGTTAGTTGCGCTGTGTTCATTTAGATGAAAAAGTTTGGATAGAATAATTACAAATGGCTCTGAAAAGAATTGGGACTATAGTTAAGTGGATATCTTCAAGCAGGGATCATTCATATTTCTAAGCATTTGTGTTTGGCTTAAGAATATAGATTTATTTATTTATAAGGCAAGACTCCTTAAGGTTCTGAAGGGGTATACTTGACCAAGTGATGAGATCAAGTAGAGACTAGAGTTATTTTTTAACCATTCCTGTGTGCCAGGTATGCTGCCAAGTGCTTTAGATGTATTATCTCATATTTTGATAAGAAAACGAAAGCTCTGAGGGGCTGACTGGCCCCAGTATCACACAGCTGGTGAGGGACAGAGCTGGGATTCCAATACAGGTGCCACATTACTGAAGGTATTAGTAGGTGAACCTGGGCTTTGCTTAGATCATCCTTTGTTTTGTTTTTCCTGTGATCAGAAGCATTAACTGAGTCAGTGACAAGTGTCATCAAGGTGTGAAAGACACAGAATTTGAAGTGAGAGGCTCTAAAGTAAACTGGGGGTTGCCTGTGGCGTTTTTTTTTTTTATGGGGGTGGGGGAGTTCCTCTATTTGTTGAGTCTTTACAGTAAGTGATTTCTTTTTTTAGTTGATAAAAACTTTTTAAACTCTCAGGGTGCACCAACCATGTGGTGTTAATAATAAATAGCTCCCTTTTATTTATGAATGAATGGAAAGACTGAGATAGCCCCCTCGAAATCTAGAGTTAGAGCAGGGGTGTTCAGTTCACCCCAGGTATCATCTTTATAGGGTAGGTAGTCAGAGGACCTTGTGCCCTGGTATCAGGGATCACTGAGTTGGCAATAGATTTGATTTACTCTAAAGAAATTCCCTGCCTTCCCTGAAGTCTGGAGAGAACATGATGCTCTGGGAAGCCCATAACCACAGTTTTAGGAGACCGGTCCAGTTTCCTGCTGCTTCCGTAGTTACAGTTTAACTTGCTGAGGTTGGTAGGATGAGATGAAAAGATTGCTCCATGCACCTTCTGTGAGGGCTGAGTAGATAACATAATGGCACATCTGTCAGTGCCAGGAGCTGGACACCCTGGAATCCCTTCCCCTACCTCCCTTGAGTAATCCAAGCTCTCTGGACCCAGCGCTCTGTGCTGTGGGCAGGGAGTCAGGGAGCTCTGGGTGGGAACATGTGTCCTAGCTTCATCCTTCAACATCCAGAGGGGCTGGGCCCTCCCTGTGTGAGAACTGTCACAGGGAGTCAGAAAAGTGAGTAAGTATATGCTGACCTGCTCCAGGGATTCATAAATCTGACTGCTTTTGTTAAAAATTGGCTGGCCTCTTTGTCAGCTCAGTTGTGGCTGACCTGTCCCAGGTGAACAGTCAGACCAAGTATTGGTGCTGTTTTAATGAACCCTTTTACTTGATTCGCTCAAGAGCCTGTGAGGACAAACAGTCACACTGTTGACTCAAGGCTACTCTTGCCATGCGTTCTAACGGTGACTCATCTCTGGAGGCCGGGGTAGCTTCTATTTGGACAGTGTTAGATAGTAGCAGAAAACAATCTATAGAGGTACGGAATGAGAAAATAAACCCTGTTGAAATTAGATACTTCTTTTTCTTACTTACTAGTAATTTTTAAAATTTCTCAGTGTTTTTTAAGAAGGGCCTTACAGAGGAGTAAGGTACAAACCAAATGGTCTTATTCAGGGTAGCTGGAAGTATGACTATGACTGACCAAAGCCCAGGGCCTACTCTTCAGGACAGCCCAGGTGCTGCTTCCTTCCTCTAGCAGTTGAGTATGATTTACATTGGAGGAGCTGAAAAGAATCTCAGATTCATTTATTCATTTTGTTACTTGGACTATACCTCTTATTTTGTATTTGTTCTTTTTTTTCTTTTTTTTTAATGTTTGGAGCTGCTGTTTGTCATATACTCCTCCTTTAAACTGATTACAGCCTGAACCACTGTTATTACTTCCGCCAAGTGCTGGTTCAGAAGGAGAAACGTGTTATTATCTTTGGGGGAGGTTCCTCGTGCTCTTCGAGCGTCAGCCACTGCCGAGTGCCATCTGCCCTGCCTGCCCACAATTTCCACCTGCTCCTCTTCCTCTCTCTCTGACAATCACCCTTTAGTATATCTTGGATCTGGAGCTGAAAAAGTTAGTCTGCTTTTATTATATCAGAAATCACCTTTCTTCTAACCTACAGCAAGGAAGAGCTCATTTTTCTCTGCTTAGGTGAGGGTTTAGAAACGTAGGCAGAGGATGAGATGGTTAGATAGCATCACTGACTCAGTGGACATGAATCTGAGAAAACTCCAGGAGATAGTGAAGGACAGGGAGGCCTGGCGTGCTACAGTCCATGGGGTCATAAAGAGTCAGACACAACTTAGCCACTGAACAACAACAGGAGGTTATAGGGAGAAGTTTAGAAAAGGCAAATCTGCTTTATGGGCCTGAGGATGTAATGGCTTGTGGATCTTATTATCTACACAGTCCAGTCAGTGTAACATAATAATAAGAAATGATTTAATGGAAGTGGGCCCAACATTTGCTCGGTTCAGAGGGCACTGAATTTGACCCACAGGCTGGTGGTTGGTGTCCTTAGCTGGACAGCTGGTGGTGGAGGGCAGCACGTCCTTCCCGCTGCCTCGTGCTCGGGTGCAGCCCCTTTCCCTGAGAGGTTTAAAGATGGCGCAAAGAAGCTGAAAGGAAAATTGT